TAAACAAACCTAATTTGGTTTTATGTTTATTTTATTTATTTGTTTTGCATTGTCTGTGTTGAATTAGAATCTAGGTATGTCGTGTTGTCTTTTTTCTTTTCTTTTTTTTTTTTTTAAACAGAGTGTCTCACTCTGTTGCCCAGACTAGAGTGCAGTGGCGTGAGTGCAGTGGCGTGAGCTCAGCTCACTGCAACCTCTGTCTCCCAGGTTCAAGTGATTCTCCTGCCTTAGCCTCCCATGTCGTGTTGTCTTAATGGTCTACCTAAATATGGAAGATACAATAATGTTCAGCTTTAACTCAGGTTCAGATACATGCTTCTTAATGTGGGGCTTAGGCTAATTCTTATGAAATGAGTTCAAGTGTCAGAAATATTTAAGGTGGAAAAGGGGGTTATATCCTTGAAAGGTAACAGTTTTTGTGTAATGTTAGGCAAGTACTTAGTAGTATTGTTATGGGAAATTTTTCACTTAAGGCCTGTCTCAAAATTAATTACCATACTCAGTAAAAGGTAGGTTGCAGTTACAGTCTCATCAATCTGCTGCTGTTCCTTAAGGCTTTCAAAGTACTTTACAGATAGGCTCCACTAATAATATATTAGGACAGTTTTTGGCCTTTGTAAATGACTTGTGTATTTTTTATAGATATAAAGGTTGAAACAAACATTTAGGCACTGCTTTCATTTGAATCTGGAGATGGGATTCATGTTGGTCTCTTTTAAGTTCTTGGTCAAGTGCGCCTCCAGCAGTATTTTTGAAAGCTAAATTAGTAATATTCAATTGTAAAACTGAATTGTAAAAAGTAATTCAATTTTTAAAATTGAATTGTAAAAAGTAAAATTGTCTAACCTTAAATTTAAAAGGAATTCAACTAGCCACTATTAATGTGTTGAATAAAACACTGGTTTTTGTTAACCTGAGTGAAAGTACAGGTGATACCTAAAATTGGGAATTCAGTGAATCTTTCCAAGGTTCATTCTGGTTGTAGCATTTATCAATACTTACATTCCTTTTTATGGCTAAACAATATTTCATTGTATGGATGTACGTTTTATTCATCAGTTCATTAGTTGATAGACATTTGGTTTGTTTCTACTTTTTGATTTTGTAAGTAATGTGGTGAACATTTGGGTGCAAGTTTTCTTTGTTGTTGCTTTTGGTTTGTGGGTTGGGTTTTTTTTGTTTATTTGTTTGTTTTTGAGATGAAGTTTAGCTTTGTTCCCCAGACTAAAGTGCAGTGGCATGATCTCAGCTCACTGCAGCCTCCACCTCCCAAGTACAAGCAATTCTCTTGCCTCAGCCTCCCGAGTAGCTGGGATTACAGATGCCTGCAACCATGCCTGACTAATTTTTGTATTTTTAGTAGAGACGGGGTTTCACTAGGTTGGTCAGGCTGATCTCGAACTCCTAACCTCAAGTGATCTGCCTGCCTCAGCCTCCCAAAGTGCTGGGATTACAGGTGTGAGCCACCATGCCCGGCCAGGGTGCAAGTTTTCATTTCTCTTGGATGTACACCTAGAGGCAGAATTGCTGGGTCTTATGGTACCTCTTAACCTTTTGAGGAACTGCCTGTTTTCCAAAGAAGCTGCATTATTTTACTTTCCCACCAGTAGCATAGAAGGGTTTTAATTTCTCTACTTCCTCAACAACACTTGTTATTACCTGCCTTCTTGATTAAAACCATCCTAGTGAGCATGAAGTGGTATCACGTTGTGGTTTTGAATCAAATTTCCCTGAAGGCTCGTGATGTTAAACGTTTTCTTCATGTGCTTTTTGGCCATTTGTATATTTTCTTGGAGGTGTCTATTCAGATTTTTGTCCATTTTTAATTGAGTTATTTGCTTTTTTTAATTGAGTTGTAAGAGTTCTTTATATGTTGTAAATATAAGTCCCTTGTCACATATATGATTTGCAAGTATTCTCCCATTTTGTGGGTTGTCTTTACACTTCCCCCATCATTTATTTATTTATTTATTTTTAGAGGCAGAGTCTTGCTCTGTCACCCAGGCTGGAGGGCACTGGCCCAGTCATAACTCACAGTAACCTCCAACTCCTCAGCTCAGGCAGTCCTCCCACCTCAGCCTTCTGAGTAGCTAGGACTATAGGCATTTGCCACTACACCTGGCTAATTTTTTCCTTTTTTTTTTTTTTTTTTTTAAGAGACAGGGACTCACTGTGTTACTCAGGCTGTTCTCAAACTCCTGTCCTGACCTCAGCTGATCCTCCTGCCTCAGCCTCTGTTTTTTTATTTTTGAGTCTTAATCTAGCAGAAGATAGTTGATTTAAGCACACTTTAATATGCTATGCCTGTATTATCTATGTAATGTCAATAAGTGAAGAGTGTCTTCTGTGAACTCCAGTCAGGATGGTAGATCACAGTGAAGAGAACCCTACAATGTGATTTGGTATGTTGCTGTTTCAGCTTTTCTGGATATTGCTTCCTAGCAAAGAAGTCTAAAGCTGGAAGTTGCCTTAGAGGAAGTATGAAAAATCCACCATCTGCCTTTAGATAGGATGTTTACCTGGCACCCATTGGCCACAATAGAAAATTTCTGTGTATGAGCACTTCTCATACTTGGGGGACTCTAGGTTAAGAAAGAAGATTTTGGCAGGGTGCAGTGGTTTACACCTGTAATCCCAGCACTTTGGGAAGCCAAGGCGGCTGGATCGCTTGAGGTCAGGAATTCGAGACCAGCCTGACCAGCATGATGAAACATCATCTCTACTAAAAATACAAAATTAGCCCGGTGTGGTGGCGCATGCCTATAGTCCCAGCTACTCGGGAGGCTGAGGCAGGAGAATCGATCACTTGAACCTGGGAGGTGGAGGTTGCAGTGAGCCAAGATTGCACCATTGCGCTCCAGCCTGGGTGACAAGAGTGAAACTCTGTCTCAAAAAAAAAAAAATAAAAAGGAAAAAAAGATTTTCATTGTCTCAGGTTTTTTTGTTTGTTTGTTTTGGTTTTTTTTTTTTTTTTCTTTTACTGAGAAAAGTGCTTGGAAATTGTCTCAGTTTTATTGTTTGTGGTGGAAATAACTTCAGGTCAATTAAAATGTGCTGTCTTTTCAGCCGGTTAACAAGAACAAAAAGTTGCTTGTATATTGCAGCAAACTCACCTGTTTATTTGTATCTTTATATAAGCCCAGATAACAATAAATAGGGAGACAGAGTGCAGAGAATATTTGCCTGACAGTTTTATATGGCTCATAAAAAGAAACAATCTGCTTTGATCCTCCCAAGAGGATTTTTGCTACCTAAAAATGCAGATGTCCTGCTTCTTGAACAGAAATGGGTGCATCTTTTCTCCCACAAGTGAAGAGTAATAGAAAATAGATTAAGCTGAATACTGTGGGCTTTTGATAACGGGTAAGCATGCTGAAATCCATCTCTGAACTTTCTTGTCCCAACCCCAACACAGACAATTCCTTGGGTATACAGTTAAGTAGGCCACCCTGATAAAAGATTGTGTTTGGGTTTATGGTGGCTCTTATATATTAATGCAGCACAAGCTCCTGGAAATGCATTCAAGTTTTAAGGTGCCAGCGTTTTAAGGCACCAGAACACACACACACACAAATGTCCGTTTTCCCCCCTCCACTGGGCTCCTCCTTTGACTTAGAGTCCCCAGGGAGTACAACATGACCAGTTGCATTGCCATTCAGTGACTGACACTTATAAGAGAACCTCTGCATAATGCTTGCCTCCCAAGAGAACACAAGACAGGAGTATGGCTGTCCCCCTGCCAGTTTCGTGAAAGACGAGGACATTGTATTCAGTGCAAGTCCTAGACCAGATTTCAGAAAGGCACTTTGGTATTGCGGATTTGTCACTATGCCCAGGACACATGCACAGGTCCCTGGCTGACTGCTTTTCCCATGACTTGAAAGCAGTTAAGAAGAATGAGAAGGTGACTCCTTTTTCTGCTTGCCATTCCCAGATATCAAAATCCTCATATTTTAAGCCTAAGGTTATTCCTAAATCTAAGTCTTGGCAAATAAGAACAAAGATGAGGTTTTAGCCCACTTGTGTGAGAGGCAAAAGCTGAGGTGTGCAATAGACACTAATAAAAGGAGGAATCCATGAGTTGACCCATCAACAAGAAGGAACTTGACTGACTACTACATAGAGCTCTTGTGGAAGTCTAATTGGTGCAATTTTCAAAGTGATGAAGTTTGACTTGCTCTCTCAAAGAGTGAGTCCCTTTTGCTCTGCTGCCTACTTTCCCTTTTGCTGTAATCGTGCTACATATTAAATGCTCACTAAACTACTTGAAAGCCAAAGGCTGACCCATTTCCTCTTCTCACTGCTGTGTAATATCTAGTGATATTACAGATGAAAGACATGCAAAGGTAAACACTAGTTGGGGAACAAAAATGATATCTGGGTTATTCCAAGTGGATGGTAACTTTGTTAACACAAACACAAGGTGAGAATTTCTTTTCCCCTAATTATATTTGCTTTCTTATATGTTAATCACTTTGGTGTTTGTTTGTTTGTTCATTTTGAGACAGAGTCTTGCTGTGTCGCCAGGCACCAGGCTGAAGTGCAATGGCTCAATCTTGGCTCACTGTAATTTCCACCTCTGGGGCTCAAGCAATTCTCCTGCCTCAGCCTCCCAAGTAGCTGGGACTACAGGCACATGCCACCATGACCAGCTACTTTTTATATTTTTCAGTAGAGACGGGGTTTCACCATGTTGGCCAGGATGGTCTTGATCTCTTGACCTCATGATCCGCCCGCCTTGACCTCCCAAAGTGCTGGGATTACAGGCATGAGCCACCACGCCCGGCCTATTTATTTTTTTGAGACATAGTCTCTTTCTGTTGCCAGGCTGAAGCGCAGTGGCACAATCTTGGCTCACTGCAACCTCCGACTCCCTGGTTCCAGCGATTCTCCTGCCTCAGCCTCCTGAGTAGCTGGGATTACAGGCACGTGCCACCACAGCCAGCTAATTTTTGGTGGGTATTTTTTAGTAGAGACGGGGTTTCACCATGTTGGCCAGGATGGTCTTGATCTCCTGATCTCGTGATCCACCCGCCTCAGCCTCCCAAAGTGCTGGGACAACAGGCGTGAGCCACCACACCCGGCCCACTTTGGTGTTTAATTTTTGCCCCTCCCCTGTTTTCTGACAAACTGTACAGGATATCTCCCAGGAAATGTTTCTCAGCCATGACGGGACAAAAGACATATAGACTAACAGCAGGGCAAGGAGAAACTCCATGCCTGAATATAGTGTCAGTCTTTCCCACTGATCTGTGCTCTCTGCATGAGGCTCTTTTTGAAATAAGCTTGAGTGAGCAAAAGAAGAGCAAAAGAGGACTCTCCACAGGGTTTGAAATCAACCGTAGCCCAAAGACATCACTTTATTTCCAAGCCAGGCAGGGATAGGAGAACCTCTCAGAATTACTAGCAAGCTTGAGTTCCAGGTGGAACCCTGTTTGTGGCAACACAAGCACATTTTTTACTGAGCTGTGATCCTCAGGGATGTGGAATATTATTTTTCTCCTGTCTGCATTTGTGCAGAGAACAGAGCAGAGAAACTAATGAAATGCACAGAGCTTCAAGTGACTTTAAACAAGACTCTGCATTATGAAAGCAGGCAATGAGGACCTACTCTTGGCTTTTCTTTCAACCCCTGGGCTCCTGTGATGAGCTGAGTGCTTGTTAATTCCCACATTCACTAAACCATCAGAGTTCTGCTGATTCTCAGTTTTAGAGGGAAACTCTACAGTGAGCTTTTTCAATGGCAATCGTCAATTACTGGTCAGAATACATTATAATTGTGAAAATTATACCCCATTAATCTCATTAAATATGTCTAAACCTATAACTTTTCATAGATCTATACATAGGTTGACTATATTTAACTTGCCTTGATCTTGTTTGCCATTTTTTACAAAAGCATCATCTAAAATATAGGGAGAGTTGTCAGTAATTTGGGCTTGTTAATAAACATTGTTTTTGCTTTGTCATTTTTGTTTTGCTTCATCCCTCCTTTGTGTCCTTGTGGTTTTGCCTGGCATGGGTGACACTTAACCATTTTAACTTAGCAAACTGTCATACCGAAGAAAATGCCAATTCTATGATATCAGACATCTGACTGCAGGCTGTGGTTTGTTCGCATTGAAGTAAGCTGTATGTTAAGAAAAGTATCTGCATTTTATTTTTTATAGCACTAACGCATGTCCAAGGCTCATATGCTTGCCTTATTTTCTTGAGGACTTTCCTCATATCTCACCATTTGTGTCTACACTTGCAGACCTTTAGGGTGATGATTCTTTGGTTAGGGACCATCTGAAAGAAAAGTGGGCCAAAGGGAAAAATAATGGCTCTGGAGAAATATGTTTAACTCATAAATAGGTCACTGGTGGGTGTATAACTGGAAGGCTTTGGAAGCCCAAGTCAGCACTTAGCTGTGGCGTCAAACCACGACAGCACAGTTTGACAGCATGCCCAGGAGATTACTTCAGTCCTATAGGATGGGAAGCTTTTAGGTTTATGAGTAGAATTGGGGGATGGGAGAGGGTAAGAGTAAAAGAAGTGGGGAATAATCCCTATGGTGATATGGCCCAAATAATATTATTCTCCCTCTTTTTTTTTTTTTTTTTTTTTTTTTATAGACCCTGTCAGGGGAGGGTAAATGAAACAGAAGTCCTTCCTTAGGGAAAAGCAGCTGGGTCTTAAGTAGAAACCTGCTCTTGGGCCGGGCGTGGTGGCACATGCCTGTAATCCCAGCTACTCAGGGGGCTGAGGCAGGAGAATCGCTTGAACCCAGGAAGTGGAAGTTGCAGCAGGGAGCTGAGATCAAGCCACTGCACTCCAGCCTGGGCAACAGAACAAGACTCCATCTCAAAAAAAAAAAAAAAAAAAGAAAGAAAGAAAGAAAAAAAGAAAAGGAAGGAAGGAAACCTACTTTCTTGATTTTGTTGGGTTTTAAATAAAGACATTGTTAGTGTTTTTTGTTTTCTGAGCCTTTATAGAATTTTAGGTTTGATATGTATATAAACTGTAAACTGGCCTAAATTCCTGAGCTGCGTCTGCAAGAAGTGTCGCCTGGCTATTTCCTTTTTCTTGATAGTCTGCTAAAATTTGGCAACAGAATAGTATCCAGTTTTCCATACCCCTGAGATTCTCCAGAATACATGTTTGCAGTTGTGTTGGTTCTTCCTTCCAATGGAATGTTCCCAAGAGTATTAGAAAATTACTGCTGAGGCCAGAATTTTGTACCTTTTCCAAAACAGGTTGGCTCTAGCATCTATCATGAGATGAATGAATGAAGCCCCTTTTTAAAATGTTTGCTGCCCAGCCCATCTTCCTTTGTAGAGAAACCAGAATTGCAAGAATAGTCAAACCAGGCTAGCGATAGATCAGGCCCTTGGCACTGGGGCTCAGCTTGTAGAAAAGTTAGCAGAGGCAAACACCTGGTATAACTGTTAGTTGCTCTGCCCTCCGTCCTTCCTTTTTTCCCTGTACTAACTAGTAACACTCATGACCAGGTATCCTTTACTGAGAAGATGCCACAAGCCAGCTCTATGTAGAAGGCAATAAAACCTGGGGACACAGCCAGTTTAAAAGGATTGTATGCCTGTGGAAGTGACGCAACTAGCTAAGTTTCTCAATGGTGCATTTGTAATGGCCTGGCACTTCATTGGTTTCCTTGTTAACACTGCCACTGAGGCTTTGCATGAAAAAACCAGCAGTTCTTCTACTTTTTATGTACTTTGTGGTATTAGTGGTATTTGAGTCAGTAACCAGGATGAATAAGGGTAAGGGATTAAGGTTGAGGGACCCTATGAACTTTCTGCTTTCACCTCTAATATCCTTCAATATAACTATCTTCATGCAAAAGATGGGCCATAGTTGAGAAAAGCTGATGCCCGCACAAGTGTCCAGAGGAAGCTTACTATTTCTGCTGACATTTAAATTTCATTAAATGGTGTTCCCTCAAAGCATACACTTTAAAATTTGGGTGTATTAATGCAGCTTTTAATTTAAATTAAACTTTACCCAGTGCCACTTAGCTTTCCTAGGACATAAGTTTGTTTCCATTTATAAAAGGCTGGTTTTCTGTGTTCATAGGTCACTTTATAGAGCAAGATGGCTGCTAAGAGGCTGAGGCATGATCGTGGTCCTATCAGTGATCACCTTCACTCCCCATTTTGGCTAATACCAGCACATTTTCTGAACAGGCTGAGGACCACAGAGCCAGTCTAAGGGAGGAGAGTAGGCATGTTCTGAGCATGTGTTATGTTTTGCAGTTTGTCTTATACAGTGCCACTAAATATAATTGCAGGATTTTTATCTGGTGGTGGTTCTTAAATGGATGGATGAGCCCCGCAAACTGTGAAATTAAAAATCAAAACTGCTCAGTGCTATTGTTTGTTTGCTGAACCCCTCTTCCCCCAACCAAAAAAGGGTAGGGAGGCATACAGATGATGGTAGGGGCATTGAACTCTTTCTTAGTTCAATTGATGTTTTATTTCAACTGAAACTACCGTAGATGGCTAGAGAGCGTCTGATTCCTGAAGAATTATGGGCTCTGACAAGAGGGACCCTACCAGCTCATATGACTGACCTCTTTTGGAAGTAGGCTTCCAAAATACAATATAGTAAATACAAAATACAATATAGCTTAGTAGGCTGTTGGTATATTGTATATGGATATGCTATTTACATAGTGTTCCTGTTAAGTGTTTATATTAAATAGAATTACTTTGTTAGTCCAGAAAGAGAAAATGGAGTGTGCTTTTTCTTAAATATTCTGCATCTTCTTGCTTGCTTTTGGACTAAGACATACACCAAAGCTTTTAACTTGGTTAAGTGAGATTTTCATTGTGTCTCAGACTGCTACTGGCTCAAGTTTTAAAATGTCAGTGTGACTTAGGTGGATGGACAGTTACAAGCAACACATCAGTAACATTACATATTAAAAAAAAAAAAAGTCCAGAGCCCAGTACCATTTTTATGTCCATGTAGTAACACAGAAAAAGGTCTCTAAAATAAAAAGCAGTCTTTTTGCTTCCCGATTGCTCTCTCCCTCCACCTCTCGCCTCTTCCCTTTGTTCTCTTGTTTCCCCATCCCCCGCTCGAATTCCATATTGAGAAACTGCTTGTGCTGGATGGATAATTAACACGATACTATGGAGCAACAGGTCCCACTGGTAGCGACTAAATCTGAAGTAAATGTTAATGTTGTGCAGGTTCACATGTATTAATAGGTGAGGGAGATGAGTAGTGAGGTTAGACTCAGATCAACCACACTGGTATATGGCTTGAAATAGATCTTCTTAATTAGAGAGCCAAGAACCATGACAACCACCAACATCTTCAACTTGCAGCATTGAGCTGCAGCCTCATTAGTGAATGAAAGGCATTCTAAATTAAAGCTGGACTTTATCCTTGGGCTGAGAGTTGGGATCATCTGGCTCTGGGCTTTGATTTGAATCTTTGACACAGAGAGGTCTATCAATGCAGGCATTACAGTTAGCTGAGGGACGTGTGTTTGTGGTTTTCTTCTTGATGAATCTAGAAATAGACTGCTCTAGATACCATCCTCAGCAATAGAGATGGGCCATTTGGATTTGTTTATGGGAGTCTATGTATGTTGGAGTCATGCTGCAGAGGTTGGCTTTAGGAATTGATTTGTATGTAAATATTACTGTTAACACTTTGTAGGCCTTCTAGGTATCACAGAGAGCCTCACCAAACTGAGAAATACATCCTCCAAATGAATGTACAGTCTCTGAAGATTCAGGGCTTTATTGTTATGAACTGCTTTATAACTAACAGCATGTCTTTAAGATCAGATAGTGGTTAAAATAGTGAGCTGGGCCAGGTGCAGTGGCTGACACCTGTAATCCCAACACTTTGGGAGGCCGAGGAGGGTGGATCACCTGAGGTCAGGAGCTCAATACCAGCCTGGCCAACATGGTGAAATTTCATCTCTACTAAAAATATAAAAATTAGCCCAGTATGGTGGCACATGCCTATAATCCCAGCTACTCAGGAGGCTGAGGCACAAGAATTGCTTGAACCCAGGAGGCAGAGGTTACAGTGAGCCAAGATCGTACCACTGCCCTCCAGCCTGAGTGACACAGCGAGACTCCATCTCAAAATAAAAAAATAAAATAAAATAGTGAGCTGGAAATGCAATGAACAGTTACTTTCTGGCAGGAATTGTAGGCCAGACCCTTTTAACAAATGATCTGGAAGGAAACTTACCAACAGCAGTGAAGATGGGAAGATATTCTGCAAGAACTTTATCTCTGCCTGTGGAAAAGAATCCGTGTCTCATAGCAATGCAGGCTATGTTCTTTTGAAGCCAGAAAATAGAGGTCCTTGGCCTGTTGGCTAAAAAGCTACCAGTTTTCCAAGACAAGCTAGCTCAGGTACAGAAGACAACTATTCCAGGGCTCACCATCCCAAGTACTCAGGTAATTCTCAGAAGGAATCTAAAGGTTCAGTCACTCAAGGCATGATGGCTTACACCTGGTAATCCTAGCACTTTGGGAGGCAGAGATAGATGGATCACCTTAGGTCAGGAGTTTGAGACCAGCTTGACCAAGATAGTGAAACTCCATCTCTACTAAAAATATAAAAACTAGCTGGGTGTGGTGGTAGGTGCCTGTAATCCCAGCTACTCCAGAGGAGAATCACTTGAACCGGGGAGGCAGAGGTTAACAGTGAGTAGAGATCACGCCAATTCATTCCAGCCTGGACAACAGAGTGAGACTCCAACTCAAAAAAAAAAGAAAGAAAGAAAGGTTCAAACACTTTTATGCTCTAGACAGACTTAAACATTCATTTTCAGGAGACATGTCCCCATTCCTAGAACCTTCCTTTTGTAAGGTATTTTATCAAAATGAAAAAATATACCTGAATATACCTGCTTCTGAAACTATGGCTTCCTCCTGAACGCCTCACGATCCTTAACTTCACTGTCTTTAAAGGCTCACTGGCCGAATTACCATTTGTTAAATAGCTCTGAATTATGCAAAGAGTAGGAAATAGCCCATTGTCATCGGCAGATACCAAATATCCAAATTTTCGGGCTCTGGCATCCATAAACAATTGAGTTTAATGTGAGTCTTTATGGTAAGAATCAATTTGTAGTTGATTGTATATGGCCTCATTACCACATGTCCTTTTCACCTTGTCTCCAGCCCATGATCCCTAAAATGAAGAACCATTTCTGAAATCCCAGCACTTAGCATATTGCCTAGCCTAAAATAAACATCTAATAATGTTTGAGTGGATGGATAACTTTGATCCTCTCTCTCCAAGGCTACTTTTTTTTTTTTTTTTTTTAAGGCAGGATCTTACTTTGTTACCCAGGTTGGGATGCAGTGGTGTGAACACGGCTTACTTCAGTTTTGCCCTCCTGGACTCAAGTGATCCTCCTGCCTCCCAAGTAGCTGAGACTACAAATGCATGCCACCAGGCCTAGCTAATTTTTGTATTTTTTGTAGAAAAGGGGTCTCACCATGTTTCCCAGCCTGGCCTCCAACTCCTGGGGTCAAGCACTCCTCCCACCTTAGCCTCCCAAAGTGCTGGGATTACAGGTGTGAGCCACAGCCTGGCCTAAGTTACTTTTTTGGTGGGGTAGATGATAATTTGTTTGCTTTGTATTCATTTTTCAGTGTGGTACCTACTACATTGATAAGAAAGTAATGGGTACTCAATAAATACTGACTGATGCAGAAAAAAATACTCAGACTTGAGGTTAAGGAGGGTAGCCTGATGGATATTTCACTGTGTGCCCCAGAAATAAGAAAACCACTAAAGGTCCTTAAAAAACAACTTGGGCTCTTAAGCATGTCCTGAGAGTGAACCAAAAACACAACAACAACAACAGTAAAAGCAGCTTAGGCTCAAGATTTCAAAGAGTCAGGAAACTTTGATTTGGGTTCCAGTTCTGCTACTCAGTAGCTTTAGATAAGTCAGTTTCCTTACCTGTGTGATGGGAATAAGAATTATCTCAGAATGTGGTAGTGAAGATCAAATAAGAACATCTGTTAAAATACTTTGAAAACTGTAATACCTAGATGTCAATGAAATTATCACTCTGCTATTTCTAGGCTTTAGTTTAAGAAACACATAGGCCGGGCGCGGTGGCTCAAGCCTGTAATCCCAGCACTTTGGGAGGCCGAGGCGGGTGGATCATGAGGTCAAGAGTTCAAGACCATCCTGGTCAACATGGTGAAACCCCGTCTCTACTAAAAATACAAAAAATTAGCTGGGCATGGTGGCGCGTGCCTGTAATCCCAGCGACTCAGGAGGCTGGGGCAGGAGAATTGCCTGAACCCAGGAGGCGGAGGTTGCGGTGAGCCGAGATCGCGCCATTGCACTCCAGCCTGGGTAACAAGAGCGAAACTCCGTCTCAAAAAAAAAAAAAAAAAAGAAACACATTAATGTTTTTGCAAAAGCAGCATTGGCTCATTATAGTGTTTTCACTGCTGAATAGCTGAAACTCTGGTAGAGTAATCTCAGTGTTGACATGACTTTTAACTTTTAATAATTTTCTCTTATAAAGGATGGCCTCCACCACCCTGTCTTTATTGCTATATGAGGATGAGAAGGAGCTAGGGCAGAGCCATTTTTTCTTAACAGACATATCATGATTTAAAGACTCTGGTGTACATGTAATTATTTCACAGTTGCACGCTAAGCTTATGGGAACACCATTCTTTCAGGGAAGGAAGGTTTTTTTCTTTCTTTTTTTACTATCTCCAGTAATGGGTATAAGCAATCTTTTTTTTTTTTTTTTCTTTTTCTTTTTTTTCTGAGAAAGAGTCTTGCTGTCACCCAGGCTAGAGTACAGTGAGGCGATCTCGGCTCATTGCAACATTTACCTCCTGGGTTCAAGCAATTCTCTTGCCTCAGCTTCCCCAGTAGCTGGGACTACAACTGTGCGCACCTTGTCCAGCTAATTTTTGTATTTTTAGTAGAGATGGGGTTTTGCCTTGTTGGCCAGGCTGGTGTTGAACTCCTGACCTCAGGTGATCCACTGCCTTGGCCTCCCAAAGTGTTGGGATTACAGGCGTGAGCCACTGCACCCAGCTGGGGAAGGAGTTTTGAGATGGGTAGCTGAGGTGGGGAGTCCTCAGAATAAGTACGAGTACCCTGAAACTGCAGAATCTCCTTTCTCCCTGGAATCCTTTCCCTGTCGGCAGTATTTCTGATATGGAGCAAAACAGCCTCTTTCAGAAGTGGTTCCTGAGCTTACCCCAATGACATTGTTTTTCCTGGAACCATTTCATGAATCCCTTTCCTCTAAAAAATTTGCATTGAGTCGGGTGTGGTGGCTCACACTGACAATCCCAGCATTTTGGAAGGCAGAGGCAAGCAGATCATTTGAGCCCAAGAGTTCAAGACCCAGCCTGGGCAACGTAGCGAAACCCTATCTCTACAAAAAATACAAAATTTAGCCCAGCATAGTGGTATGCACCTGTGGTCCCAGCTACTCGGGAGACGGAGGTGGGAGGATTGCTTGAGCCCAGGGTGTCAGGGCTTCAGTGAGTCAAGATTGCACCACTGCACTCCAGCCTGAGCAACAGAGTGAGATCCTGCCTCAAAAAAAAGAAGAAGTTTGAATTGAAAAGCTGCCTTCTAAATAGCTTGAAAGGAATTAATTATTTGAAGCAGAGTGGAAACATGGTCATGAGCAAGCTTTATGACAGGTGATTCTTATATTCAAGCTACACCTATGATGATCATTTTCTAAGACCTTTTTTTCCTGTCCATTTAATCTTAGATATTACTCCCTTCTCTCAAGATACCATCTTTTCAAATTTGTTATTTCAAGATGTATGTTCTGTCTCTAAGAAAGCAGCAAATCTTGGCTGTGCATGGTGGCTCATGCCTGTAATCCCAACACTTTGGGAGGCTGTGGCGGGTGGATCATTTGAGTTCAGGAGTTTGAGACCAGCCTGGCCAACATGGTGAAACTCCATCTCTACTAAAAATACAAAAATTAGCTGGACATGGTGGCAGGCACCTATAATCCCAACTACTCAGGAGGCTGAGGCAGGAGAATTGCTTGAACCCAGGAGGCAGAGGTTGCAGTGAGCCGAGATCATGCCACTGCACTCCCACCTGGTTGACATAGCGAGACTGCATCTCAAAAAAAAAAAAAAAAAAAAAAAATTTTTTTTTTTTTTTTTTTTTTATTTTACTTTTAAGTTCTGGGGCACATATGCAGATCTTGCAGGATTGTTACATAGTTATACACATGCCATGTTGGTTTGCTGCCTCCATCCCCCCCCCGCCTCCCCCATCACCTACATTAGGTATTTCAAGAAAGCAAATCTTAAGATGTGATGGCCTTGGCCAGGTGCAGTGGCTCACACCTGTAATCCCAGTACTTTGTGAGGCCAAGGTGGGTGGATCACTTCACATCAGGAGTTCAAGACTGGCCTGGCCAACATGGCAAAACTCCATCTCTACTAAAAATACGAAAATGAGCCAGGCATGGTGGTGAGCTCCTGTAATCCCAGCTACTCAGGAGGCTGAGGCAGGGGAATCGCTTGAACCCTGGAGGCGGAGGTTGCAATGAGCTGAGATCACACCACTTCACTCCAGCCTGGTGACAGAGCAAAACTCCATCTCAAAAAAAAGAGTTTACCTGGTGAAGCGGTTGGGGAAGAGTGCTAGGGTTGTGGGTAGCAGCCCTGGAGTGAGCAGAGACAGAGGTGAGAAACAGTATGGGCCATGTAGGGAGCCGGCCAGCTAATCAAGCTGGAGAAAAAAGAGGGTTCTGGCCACAGGGGTCTTAATCTTATAATGGGGCCGGGCGCGGTGGCTCACGCCTGTAATCCCAGCACTTTGGGAGGCCGAGGCGGGTGGATCACGAGGTCAAGAGATCGAGACCATCCTGGTCAACATGGTGAAACCCCGTCTCTACTAAAACTACAAAAAATCAGCTGGGCATGGTGGTGCGTGCCTGTAATCCCAGCTACTCAGGAGGCTGAGGCAGGAGAATTGCCTGAAACCGGGAGGCGGAGGTTGCGGTGAGCCAAGATCGCGCCATTGCACTCCAGCCTGGGTAACAAGAGTGATACTCTGTCTCAAAAAAAAAAAAAATCTTATAATGGATGGGAGACGTGCATCGTCGAAGTGCTTTAAATCAGGAGAGTGGTATGATCAGACTTACGTTTTGTGTTTTGGATAATTATTCTGCCAGCAAGGTTGAGAATAGATTAAGGAAAGCATGAAGGGTGGCTGAGAGACCATTCACGTCTTTGTGAAAGATCTAAGCCCATATCACCTTCCCTTACCCTTCTCTACTTTAAATGTTTGATGTAGGATATCTTGGCACAAAGCCAGTGGGCAGATGAACAGGAATGATGAGAAACAGAATCAGAAGTGACACCCTTCAGGGTTAATTTTGATATGACAGCTACTGAAGCATAGCAGAGTCTGTAGGCCTTTGAAAATTACATGCATGCAGCCAGACGGGTGGATCACAAGGTCAGGAGATCGAGATGGTGAAACCCCGTCTCTACTAAAAATACAAAAATTAGCTGGTCTTGGTGGTGGGAGCCTGTAATACCAGCTACTCGGGAGGCTGAGGCAGGAGAATCACTTGAATCCGGGAGGTGGAGGTTGCAGTGAGCCAAGATTGCATCACTGGACTCTAGCCTGGACAACAGGGCAAGACTCCATCTCAGAAAAAAAGAAAGAAAGAAAAAAGAAAATTACATGCATGTATTTCAGTAGTTTGGATGTGGCCTTTTGCAGAATTACATTGGAGAGAATGAACAAAGAATTACAGGTGACATTTACCTGTGGTCCTCCAGGGCTTCGAGACCTGTCCCAGCAGGCCACTATTTTTCCAGTTTCCTGCTTCCTGGTACACATCCTCCTGAGATTTCACTAACAAAACAGGGAGGAAGGGAAGCAATGAGCTGTGATGGCTTGGTGGGCATCTGACTTGTTGCTCAGGGATCTGGGGAAACAGGGAGCTAAAAAAATTTGCCAAGTCAAGTGCTGTTTTATGTAGAAATGGTAAAACAGTATAGCTTTAAGCCCTGAGACACTAAGGAGACTCCCTGTATAGTAAAAATACTCATGTTTTGTTGTTGTTGTTGTTGTTGTTGCTTATTTCCTCAATTCTTTGAAGAAAAATTTCCTGCATACCATTCCAAGTAAGTGACTTAGCCAAGAACCCAAAGGTAGTAATTTCTTAAGCATAAGTATAGTCTGTTTTTGCTTTGTTGTGTTTGTTTTTGTTTTGTTTTTGAGACGGAGTTTCGCTGGAGTACAATGGTGCAATCTTGGCTCACTGCAACCTCCGCCTCCCAAGTTTAAAGGATTCTCCTGCTTCAGCCTCCCAAGTACCTGGGATTACAGGCGCCCGCCACCACACCAAGCTAATGTTTGTATTTTTACTAGAGATGGAGTTTCAACATGTTAGCCAGGCTGGTCTTAAACTTCCAACCTTAGGTGATCCACTGTGTGCACAACCCCTACCATTTATAAAGATACAAAGAGTTGGAAGAGATGTAATCATTTTCCTAGTCCCTCTAATAAAAGAAGTAGGTGCCGGGCACAGTGGCTCACGCCTGTAATCCCAGCACTTTGGGAGGCCGAGGCAGGCAGATGACAAGGTCAAGAGATTGAGACCATCCTGGCCAACATGGTGAAATCCCGTCTCTACTAAAAATACAAAAAATTAGCTGGGCATGGTGGCACACACCTGTAGTCCCAGCTACCCGGGAGGCTGAGGTGGGAGAATCACTTGAACCCCAGAGGCAGAGGTTGCAGGGAGCGGAGAGTGTGATTCCATCTCAAAAAAATAAAAGAGAACTGCTGAAATGGGCAACGCATGGGAAGTGCCGAAAGCAAGAGGTTCAATATATAGGAATAATATGAACTCATGGGTAAGCTGTTTGTTTATCTATTGTTGCATAACAAACTGCGCCAAAACTCAGTGGCCTGAATACAGAAACTTGTTATTATCTCTCACAGTTCTGAGGGTTGTCTGGGCTCTGCTGGATGGTTTTTCTGTTTCACATGATGTTGGCTGGGACTGCAGTCATTTGGAGGTTTGACTGAACTGGTATGTCCAAAATAACTCACTCACATAGCAGTAGTTGCTGCTGCCTGTTGGCTTGGAGTTCAGCTGAAGCTGTTTTTTGGAGTCGAGTTCAAGTCTCACTCTGTTTCCCAGGCTAGAGTACAGGGGTGCAATCTTGACTCACTGAAGTCTCTCCCTCCCAGGTTCAAGCAATTCTCCCGCCTCAGCCTCCCAAATAGCTGGAATTACAGGCATGTGCCATCACACCTGGCTAATTTTTATATTTTTAGTAGAGATGGGGTTTTGCCATGTTAGCCAGGCTGGTCTTGAACTCCTAACCTCAAGTGATCCATTGGCCTCGGTGTCCCAAAGTCCTAGGATTCCAGGCATGAGCCACTGCACCTGTCCCGAAGCTGTTAATTGGAATACCTTGTCTTCTCCATGTCCTCTCTCATAGCATGACAGCAGAGCTCTGAGGTGGAACTTTCCAAGCATATTTTTTTTAAAGTAGAATCTGCAGATCTCTTTAAGCCCTAGCTTTGAAAGTTGCAACATTGTCACCTCTGCTGCATTCTGTGGTCAAAGCAAGTCAAAAGACAAGTGCAATTTAAGAGGAGGGAAAGGGACTACCTGTGAATGGGAGGCAGAGCAAGTAATTTGCAGCTGTCTTTAATCCATCACAGCTGTTGGAGGCAGGCATGAAGGGATGAAGAGAGTTTTGACAGGCATAACTTTCTAAAGGAAGGATATTCTAGAGAAAGAAATAGGAAATCTTCCATTTGATTAGTGGGAAGAGTACCTAAAGTGGGCCTGGGAAGATGGAATGGGACCATGTGACAGGGCTTTGAACAGCAATTAGAAAAGCTTAGATCTACACTAACAGGCTTTTAAAAAACAGTGTAGAAGACCTCTCAGTGATTTTATTATACCTTTCCCTATAAACCCCGTGTTAATAGCTCTGGATTTGGCTTTTCTCTCTAAGTTGTGAGAAGGGATGCTCACTCCTTACATTATTATGAGTGAATCTAAGCATTTTGAAGGACAGAACCCTAGCAGTGCTGCAGGACTGGCCACAATAGGAGTTTAGGAACATGCAGACCTAGCTAGGCTGCTTCTTCTGCCTCAAAGGGCCAGTTATTTAGTCTTGCCCTTGTCTGTTCCCCACAGTAACCCTCCACTGAGTGAAGAAATGTTGCCTCCTGGAGAGTGGATGTGTCACCGGTGCACTGTTCGCCGAAAGGTAATCATGCTGCTTTCTGAAGACTCTGTCCAGAAAGCCTGATCCAGAGCACTGATATGCTAGAGCTAAGACGGCCTGGCCCTGAAGGCATTCTTGTCCCTTCTTCTTGTCTCTTCCAGCCCTGGAATCACCCTACTCTTCCATGGTGACTGTTTGGAATCCAGTAGGGCCTAAAAATCCAAACATGGGCTGCTGAAGTGGGCAGAAGAGGTGTGTTAATTTACTGAGCCATGTTTAGTCACTAGTGACAGGAGTAGTCTTAACTTCTTCTTGACCTCCTAATAAGTTGCCTGAATGTGGCAGCCTTATCCATGGCTAAAGAAAATGAAGGCTGCTTCTCCAGCTTGATGGGAAAAGGAGTTTTCTCTCACCCCAAGGCAAATAAGTCACTGGTATCCAGAGAGACTTGGCATACTGATAGAGAGGATTTTTAACCCATTTGTACCCCAAGTTTCTGATCTCTCTTTAGCTTCCCTTCCTTCAGCTTTGATAATTCAGTACTGGCTTCAAGAACATAGTTTATTATTTTCTGCTTTCAGAATTCTTGTGGGTAACAAGAGCCTAAATTCTCCCTTATTAAAAAGGGAAGTAGGTGTGCTGGCACTCAGATTATGATTGACCCAACCCTCAAATTGTAGGCTATGGATTAGAATTTGTCTGTGCATTGTAACCCACCTCCCTGTGCTCCCCCCACACTAATTACACAACAAGCAACTTTCCTACGTTGTGACCTCACCTCTATTTGCCTGGTCCCCAAATATGATGTCATAATGAATGACTTCCTTGGTTGCAGAAACAGGATGAGATGATTCAGATTGTGGTTTGTGTGTAACAGTTTCAGCCTTTAAGAAAGAAGGTAAACAAGCAGACATTATTTTTCAAATACATGCATAGTGTTCCTATTAAAAAGCGAGCTAAAGCCAAAGCAACCACCTAACCACAGCTATAGTTAAATGTCTCCATAAACCAGGCTATCTTCCAGCCTCTCCACCTTCCAAGATCCTTTCCTGTGTGTCCCTAATTAGGTCAGAGCAGGGCCAGTTAGAGGCACCTGCCAGCTAAAAGCCCTCTCAGAAACTTGCCATTCAAAAAAGCTGGACCTGAGAAGGTTGCGGGAGCTGAAGGAAAAGAGGTAAAGAGGGTGGAAAAAAGAAAATAACATGATGTTAGTTCCCGTTATGTGCCCGGTGTTTGAATTATGTTATCCCATTACCTATCCATACAGCCATAGATGGATACCGAATCCTGGCAGTAGAGTTCCATTTTAGAAAGGAAGAAGTAGAGGCTCGAATATGTAGATTAACTTTCCTAAAAACTCAAGGAATTGACACACCCAATATTTGAAACAAAATTTCTCATTCCAAACCTCTATTACCTCTTCATCAGTTTTCTAGAAGCAGAGCTATTTGTTGGGGATTATAGTATGCCCTTTTGTAACACAGGGCACTTCTGCTGAGATGCCTCTCTGTCCTTTCACACGGACCTCTTTGCCTACCAGTGCCAAATCTGCCTTTCCACCATCACCAGCACTGCTTCCCTTTGGCCTCCTGTATTTACACTGAAGTGAATTGCAATCATACATCCTCTGGGCTTCATCAGCCCCTGACATTAAGGTCCTATCATGATTCGTAGTGGAAGCGCTAGGTCCTACTCCAACTCCAAATTATCCCTTTCATATATACGACCCTTTTTATCTCCCTCCACCATATCCCTGAGAGGAAGAGAAGAAAGATTTTTCTCTCATTTTTACAGATGAAGAAATTCCTGCCCACCGGCCTGAGTCACCACAAGGTCAGAGGGGATCAGTGGCAGAAGTAGGACAAGATCACAGATAATCCTATCTTAGATCAATATTAAACTTATATTTGACTACTCGTATTTGGAGTCCTGGAGGAAAATGTACTATCAGACATCCAGTCCCACTGAGTACACTTAATCTTTTTCCATTTCCCAACCTTCTAAGAAGTGTCATTTATTTTGAGCAAAGTTTTTAAAACCATTCAGGAGATCAGGAGGCTCTAAGGCAAACTATAATGATCTCATTGATTTTCACCATTAGTCTCACCAAATTTATTCTCACTATGTTTCCTTTTTAGCCCTTTACCCTGTACTTTATAGATGTTGTATGTCATATGATAATTATTCCTAACTTTCCACACTTTTTGGTGATTCTCTGATGCAATAGTTTTGTCAGCTCCAGTTCAGTTATAGTTGTGTCAACTTTAACAGACAGCGTTCCAAGTCACCAGATAGATGAGTGCGATATGCGAAGGACTTTTACAATTTTGGTTAGTGATCTACCAGGACTTTGTAGCACCCATCTCTTTGTTTCATGGTATTTTTTCATGATGGGCCCACCTGTTCATTTGCACAGAAACGAGAGCAGAAAAAGGAGCTGGGTCATGTCAATGGACTGGTGGACAAATCTGGCAAACGGACTACATCCCCCATCAGTGACAATGACTTGTTGGACAGATCGGCCAGCAAAACTGAACTAAAGGCCATTGCCCATGCCCGGATCCTGGAAAGGAGAGCCAGCAGGCCTGGCACGCCCACATCCAACGCCAGCACAGAGACCCCCACCTCTGAGCAGAATGATGTCGACGAAGACATCATTGACGTGGATGAGGAACCAGTAGCAGCGGAGCCAGACTATGTGCAGCCCCAGCTGAGGCGGCCCTTTGAGCTGCTGATTGCTGCCGCCATGGAGCGGAACCCCACCCAATTTCAGTTGCCCAATGAACTGACTTGTACCACTGCACTACCAGGTCAGCCAAACCATCATCATATCCCTCCCCCACCCCAGCTTCCCCAAAGGACCAGCACAAGAGCAGTGCTGCCTGTGGAGTCACTGTTCATGTAGCTACTATCTCGGTTCCTGTTCCTGGATCTGCTTGAGATCTTTGAAGGTCTTAGCCATTACAGAGCTTGCTTGGTTTTTTTTTTTTTTCCAAGATGGAGTCTCGCTCTATCACCCAGGCTGGAGTACAATGGCATAATCTTGGCTCACTGCAACCTCCACCTCCCATGTTCAAGAGATTCTCCTGCCTGAGCCTCCCAAGTAGCTGGGACTACAGGCAGGAGCCGCTGCACCCGGCTAATTTTTGTATTTTTTTTAGTAGAGATGGGGTTTCACCATGTTTGGCCAGGCTGGTCTCAAACTCCTGACCTTGTGATCCACCTGCCTCAGCCTTCCAAATAGCTGGGACTACAGGCGCACACCACCACACCCGGCTAATTTTTGTATTTTAGTAGAGACAGGATTTCACCATGTTGGCCAGGCTGGTCTTAAACTCCTGACCTCAGGTGATCCGCCCACCTCGGCCTCCCAAAGTGCTGGGATTACAGGCAT